TCTTTATGGTCTGTCAATATACAATACAATCAGTCAATCAAAATTTGAGAACTACACAAATACAAAATCAATGTTGAAGATATCCAATAAATTAGTGCATTTTTTAAACTTTGATTGGTTACCTATAAACATTTGATTTATAGGCTTGCTTGTAAAGTATTTATTCTCAACTCAAATACTAAAATTGCTACGCTGATAAATAGCTGCTACACAGAAATAGCAATTACACTGGAGGGTGGATTTGGAACAAACATAGATGTCATGAGTTAGAGTCACGATTTTTAGACTCTGCACACGAAAAAAGACTACTTAAATTTAATCCTCCTAAAAAAAAAAAACCTTTGCAATGATAGAAACATTGTGTATTCGATTACATATGTCTTGTCTTTTCACATGGAAAATGCTGATGCCTTTTTTTTGGCAATAGGGAAACAACTAAGCCACAATCATATGCATGCAATTTTTACAAATCACGCACATTGGTTAAACATTTTTATGCGCCTAGTAGACTCGAACACAAAACGAGCAAATATAGGCCTTGTCTCCTATTTGACGGTAGAACTAACCTGTATGGATAAAAAAGCTTGTGTCTTGTCTGTGCAGTTCGCATCTTATTTGATCTTTTAAAGCACATTCACATTCTGAATCCCATTGGGATGTCTCGGTTTGCAGCAAATCCTTTTTTTTTTGTTTGGTATATAAAATAGATGTGGAGATAGATCACCACTTTAGATATTGGTCGGGCTGTTTTATCCTTCAATACCACACAACTATTTGCAAAAGACCCTATCACACCTATGCCGGGGCCTAAACTAAGATTTTACCATGTATTCTAGATGCTGAAGAGTAAATTTAGTCATACCTAGTTACCATAGAAACTCAAACCCAAGTATTGAGCGAGAAAATTCAAATTCTTACAGAACAACCGTTCAGTGGTATGTTTGCAGCAAATCAAAGATAGCCAAACTGATATGATCAGGAAAACTACTACAATATCTAATGAGTCATAAGAATCAAGTCGGCCATATTGGTCATACAACTTCCTTAACACAACTGATGCATCTGTCACTATATGACTATAAACCCTCAAATTCTGGTCACAGAAGATATGGTGGACAAAGGTTGCCTCTCAAAATCGCAAATGTCAGCCGGCATTCGAAGTTCAAAGATCAACACTATCAGTTCACAGGATGACTAACCCCTTCCCAGAACTCACATTGGCGGGGTCTCGTGTTTTGAGCTGCACTATTCTCTTCTTCTTTTCTGTATTTCTTCCCTTTTTTACTCTATCTCTTAAACATTGGTTATGCATCAACAAATTAACAGGACTGTGGAAATGGGACCATGGGCATNAAAAAAATAAAAGATTTAGAGTAGAAAAACAAAAAATAAGTCTGACTTATTTCTGATACGTTTCTTAAGCACGAAATATATATGCAATGTTTATTACTGTTTATTTTTTGACCAAGTATAAAAGGTGCTTTTTTTTTCCCTTCCCCGTCATTTGCCCAGAGTTGGTCAGCCCTCTTCTTCACTTANGAAAAAAATAAAAGATTTAGAGTAGAAAAACAAAAAATAAGTCTGGCTTATTTCTGATACGTTTCTTAAGCACGAAATATATATGCAATGTTTATTACTGTTTATTTTTTGACCAAGTAAAAAAGGTGCTTTTTTTTTTCCCTTCCCCGTCATTTGCCCAGAGTTGGTCAGCCCTCTTCTTCACTTACTCCAGCGAAGCACAAGAGCCCTCTTCTTCTTCACTTCTCTGTTCTCTGTCTGTGTGCTCAGATTGACGGTGCTTTTGTGGGTTTTGACGATGGTTGTGAGTTTTAGTGATCGTGAGTTTTTTTGGACGTGGATTTTGGGTGATCATGAGTTTTGGTGGTTGTGAGTTTTGATGGTGGTTGTTGGTGTCGGTGGTTGTGAGTTTTAGTGGTGGTTGTGAGTGTTAGTGTTTTGTTGGTTTTGGTGGTGTTTTGTGCTTTGTGGGTCTTGATGTATCGTGAGAGAGAGAGTTGAGGGGAAAGGTGGAAATCGTGAATTATTGTCTAAATAAATTTTATAATTTTTGTTCTTTAAAATTATTTTTAAAANTGGTGCTTTTGTGAGTTTTGACGATGGTTGTGAGTTTTAGTGGTCGTGAGTTTTTTTGGACGTGGATTTTGGGTGATCATGAGTTTTGGTGGTTGTGGGTTTTGATGGTGGTTGTGAGTTTTAGTGGTGGTTGTGAGTGTTAGTGTTTTGTGGGTTTTGGTGGTGTTTTGTGCTTTGTGGGTCTTGATGTATAGTGAGAGAGAGAGTTGAGGGAAAAGGTGGAAATTGTGAATTATTGTCTAAATAAATTTTATAATTTTTGTTCTTTAAAATTATTTTTAAAAATATATAACTAAACAAGTTTTATGATTTAAAAATTTTTAAAAACACTATTTTAAAATTATTTTCAAAAATAATTTTTAGATAATATTTTTTAAGTTACAAACCAAATAGGCCTTCACATCCCCAAATTTCCATTTAAAATAGTCTCATGGGTTCTATTTTATTATTATAAAAAAATTTTATGGTTTTTTATTGTTACCTTCTTGCTAGATCACCAATAAATTTGTATGTATAANGTACAAACCAAATAGGCCTTCACATCCCCAAATTTCCATTTAAAATAGTCTCATGGGTTCTATTTTATTATTATAAAAAAAATTTATGGTTTTTTATTGTTACCTTCTTGCTAGATCACCAATAAATTTGTATGTATAACGTTGAGTACAGGGCAGTCTACGTTGACATAGTAATAAGATTGATGTATTATAATTCGAACTTTATGTGTTGGATGTTATGTATTTGAGTCATTTAAATAATTTATTTATATACAGATCGAATAGGGCTGTATATATGGGATATTCCTTAAATCTTGTAATAATAGAAGTCTCATGCAAAGCCCATGATAAAATTAAATCCTTTTTAAGGTCCTAATAAATTTAATGATCGAGACTATTTTCATAGTTGCAGTCACCAAATTTTTATGTAATTCATCAAACAAAGTAAACTGAAATGAGAATGAATTCTTTATGGTCTGTCAATATACAATACAATCAGTCAATCAAAATTTGAGAACTACACAAATACAAAATCAATGTTGAAGATATCCAATAAATTAGTGCATTTTTTAAACTTTGATTGGTTACCTATAAACATTTGATTTATAGGCTTGCTTGTAAAGTATTTATTCTCAACTCAAATACTAAAATTGCTACGCTGATAAATAGCTGCTACACAGAAATAGCAATTACACTGGAGGGTGGATTTGGAACAAACATAGATGTCATGAGTTAGAGTCACGATTTTTAGACTCTGCACACGAAAAAAGACTACTTAAATTTAATCCTCCTAAAAAAAAAAAACCTTTGCAATGATAGAAACATTGTGTATTCGATTACATATGTCTTGTCTTTTCACATGGAAAATGCTGATGCCTTTTTTTTGGCAATAGGGAAACAACTAAGCCACAATCATATGCATGCAATTTTTACAAATCACGCACATTGGTTAAACATTTTTATGCGCCTAGTAGACTCGAACACAAAACGAGCAAATATAGGCCTTATCTCCTATTTGACGGTAGAACTAACCTGTATGGATAAAAAAGCTTGTGTCTTGTCTGTGCAGTTCGCATCTTATTTGATCTTTTAAAGCACATTCACATTCTGAATCCCATTGGGATGTCTCGGTTTGCAGCAAATCCTTTTTTTTTTGTTTGGTATATAAAATAGATGTGGAGATAGATCACCACTTTAGATATTGGTCGGGTTGTTTTATCCTTCAATACCACACAACTATTTGCAAAAGACCCTATCACACCTATGCCGGGGCCTAAACTAAGATTTTACCATGTATTCTAGATGCTGAAGAGTAAATTTAGTCATACCTAGTTACCATAGAAACTCAAACCCAAGTATTGAGCGAGAAAATTCAAATTCTTACAGAACAACCGTTCAGTGGTATGTTTGCAGCAAATCAAAGATAGCCAAACTGATATGATCAGGAAAACTACTACAATATCTAATGAGTCATAAGAATCAAGTCGGCCATATTGGTCATACAACTTCCTTAACACAACTGATGCATCTGTCACTATATGACTATAAACCCTCAAATTCTGGTCACAGAAGATATGGTGGACAAAGGTTGCCTCTCAAAATCGCAAATGTCAGCCGGCATTCGAAGTTCAAAGATCAACACTATCAGTTCACAGGATGACTAACCCCTTCCCAGAACTCACATTGGCGGGGTCTCGTGTTTTGAGCTGCACTATTCTCTTCTTCTTTTCTGTATTTCTTCCCTTTTTTACTCTATCTCTTAAACATTGGTTATGCATCAACAAATTAACAGGACTGTGGAAATGGGACCATGGGCATTCATAGCATGAAATGCTTGAAAAACATCATGAAAATCAAATTATAATTGCTCCATTTTCAAAGCTTTGCATTGGCCTAAAGTGTCCTGAATAGCCCTTATAACAATGGAAGGGCATTTTCCCCCAAAATTGTTGAAAGACAACATAAAGTGTTCCATTTATTTTTTTTTATTTTTCAACTAACGTACAGAAAAGTTGGAAAAAAATTACCTTATAACCGTTCAAGTCATAATCCGATCCACCCATTACTAAATTTATTGACTTGTTGCATACTTACACATGATAATACTCGACACAAAGACGACTTAATCAGCCTCTTGAGTCCATCATTGATCTATTTCATCTACCAGGGACCAAAAGAAGATTCTGATTAGCAGGATGGAGGAAAAGGAAACGAAGAAGAAGACAATTTCACATAAAATTCAATTCTTGTTCTTACATATATGGCAGGTTTTAAGTTCTTTTTGTCATAATGAATTATGAATAGATGCTAACAAACCATGGAAACACACCAAATTGGAGAACTTGTCATTCTCAGCAGCTTTATCGTAGACCAGTGGAACCAATTCTCCAGCAGCACAAACCTCCTCGTTCACAAAAAACTGCATGAACCAAAACAATAGGTATTGTTGCAGCTAGAGTCACAAACAGATGAATAGCAGCACCAGTCAAGATCAGATCAACCGCGTGAGGGCGGTCATCAAGGATAAATCGAATCGCTTGTCAATAATCCGATGAAGCACGATAGAATCGGGCAGTGCACGTAGCAGCTGCAAGTACAGAGACGCCACGACTGTCATCACAACCAAGAGGACTAACGAAAGTTTCCGCTTTGGCACGAGGGTGATGAAGAGTATCACCCAGATAAACATTGTGTAGTACAATCTGAAATAGCCCAAGTTTCGGATGATTCGAACAGCAGCGGCCTCCGGTGTGAGGGGGATGTTGAAAGGGAAGATGAGGTTGAAGTTGGTTTGGGTTTTAGCCTTGAAAGTCTTCGGTTTGTGGGGTTGCAGCAGCTGTAGAAGTGGTGGTTGATGGCCTGTGTATGGCTCCATAATTGGCCATGGCTCAGTTAAGAGGTATGGATTGGAAGAGGAAGAGGAAGTGGAAACTGTTTTTCTTCTCCAAGGGGCTATTGTACCATGTATGATTAATCCAAAGTCTATTAGTCAACTCTCCTCGGACTTATGCCCCATTTTGCTTTCAAGGAAATTTTTTTTTTTTTTTTTACTCGGAAAATTACGCCAAGACTGCTTAAATTTTATTATTTAATCATTTAAACCCTTAATATTTAAAATATTACATATAGACCTATCAAATAAATTATACTTACTCTCTAAAATTTATAAATGTGTAACACTTAGACCTCTCAAATTTAAAATATTACACTTTAATCCATTATTAGTTATGGAACTTATAGAATTAATTAAATGATCAAATTACCCCAATTAAAGATAGAAGATATGGGGTCTATTACAACTTGACCTTGTTTGATTTTTTAATTTTATTCTAATAGACAATATAATTATATGCAAATGAATGTTTAATTGAGTTTCTCGAAAATGATTCAATTATTAGTATTTAAATATATGAGAGGGTGATAAGTGAAAAATGATATATGTATGGTACGGATAATTATGAAAAATTATATTTTTTTTATATTTGTTAAGGGACAAGACTTAACATGGGGTATCGGTGTAATTTCAAAAAATTAAGGGGGTGTTTTTGTAATTAAACCAATCTACATGAGTGTCAGTGTAATTTTTCCTAAAATTTATTGTGACGGAAGAGTTATATCATAATTGATTTAAAAAAATTATATATATGATTATTTTTTTTCCTTAAAAATGAAAGCGATTAATTTTTCGATGAAAAATAATATATTATATATATAGATGAGTTATATTAGAAAGATGGAGTTTTTGAAATTTTTTTCAAATAATTTATTGAAAATATAATGATGCATATTTTTTTAAAATTAATATAGTTAATCAAAAAAATAAATATGTATACATAAAGAATAAATAATTAAAAGAGATGTTATAGTTATTTTGGAGATTTAAATATATAAGGATATGATAATAATTTAGATATTTAATTGTAAAATGATAGAGTGGTCTTTACGATCTTTTATAAGGGTAAAATAGATATTTAAAAGTTTTTCATCTAAGATACTTTTATTAGTAGTATAGATTAATGACATAACTGAACATGGATTTTGGTTTATAAAATTTAAAATATATAATATTCTATTTTTAATTGAAATATTTTTTGTCTAAGTATAATATTTTAAATTTTAGGGGTCTAAATGTTACACGCTTATAAATTTCAAAATGTCCAAGTGATACTCGCGTATAAACTTCATGGGGTTTGTATGTTATATTTTAAATATCAAGAAGTCTAAGTGATTAAATGACACACTTTTAAAGGTTTAAGTGTAATTTTTCTTATTTTATTTTATCGAGGAAGAATAATTGTGCCCAACATTGAAGGGGAAATATATCAGAAAAAATTACACCTTAGCCCAATGCTACAATTTTCTGATCTCAAGTACAACTTAGAATTAAAAATTGGGAGAATCACACTTTATATATCAAAAGGTTTAAGAATTTTCACATTATATCCTCAATATATTAAAAGTATTATAATGTGATCATTCCGTTATCTTCCATTGTTCATTTCATCGACGTTAATGCAATAGTCTTTGATAGAATGATCAGTATCAAAAACTAATAGAAAAACTACATTATAATATTGAGAATTCTTAAATCCTTCATGGAGTTAAGTACAATTTACCCTTAAAAATTATCTGGCTTTGTCTGGCGAACTATGTAAATTTGTTTCATCTGTCTCTATTCTTGTCCATTAGGAAGTCTAAATATGGAGAATTGGGACCAAGTCCTAACTGATGTTAGATGTTTGCTTTTTAATTGCTTGGTATGTTTGACAATTTGGTTTTTTCTATTCACATATGATTGAGACTTGAATGCTTGTGGCCTTAATTTCTATATTAATTGCAATAGATGAGATAGCCTTGAGACAGTTAGTTTGGAACGATTCCTCGTTTTCAATAATCTTATTTCACTGAGAAGATATTTAAACCACCTTTCTGACGTCAATAGATTATTGGTTCTAATATCAAACAACAATTCACTCAACAGGTAACGATGATGAACCAGTAACTTTAAAAGAAAAAACTAGATGGACAAAACAGACTTAGAAAATGAAAACCAATATGTAGAGTGTTATCACGAAATCTTAAAATGGTAAGTTTACTTTAAACTTCGGAAAGGTCAACCAATAGACCAAAAACAAGTGTAATATAGACATATATGGAGTTCTCATAAATTTTCAACTTCAAAGTAAAAAGTTCATCTAGTACTCCGACCAACCCACTAAGTGGTGCATGCTTGCTTAATTTGTTACTGGAGAAAGAAAACTCTTCAAGGTTCTCTCCCTTGTCGTTGTATTCAGATGGTCTCCCCCCTTTTCCATGTCATCATTTACAGTCAGGAAAGAGCCTCAGCAAACAGAACCCACTAATTTATCCTGGTGAGATAAAATACATATGTAAAGATAGACTTTATTTCATTTACGTCGAGCTGAACTTAAGTCTTATTAGGTATTTTGAGAATTGAAGAGTATGATTAATCTTATCGAACTGTCGTAAATATAGAGATTCGAACTCAAAAATTGAATGAAAAAATTTGAATTCTTACCCACTGACGTACCGTTCGGCCTTTTTTGCAGCAAATCAATGATAGGTAAATTGATATGATCAGCAAAACTACTACAATATCTACCGGGTCTTGAGAATCAAGTCCACCATATTGGTCATATAACTTCCTCAACACAACTGATGCATCTGCCATTATAAACCCTAAAATTCTTGTCACAGAAGATATGGTGGACAAGGTTGCCGCTCAAAATCGCAAATACCAGCCGGCATTCGAAGTTCAAAGATCATCACTATGAGTTCACGGGATGACTAATCTTCCCTAGAACTCGTAGTGGCAAGGTCTCGTGTTGTGAGCTGTACTTTTTTATGTTCTTCTTTTATGTATTTCTTCTCTTTTTTCCTCTACCTCTTGAACATTTGTTATGCATCAACAGATGAACAGGACTATGGAAATGGGCATTGAACATTCATAGTATGAAAAGCCCGACAAATATCATGAAAATCTCATTACAATTTCTCCATTTTCAAAGCTTTGCATTGGCCTAAAGTGTCGTGAATAGCCCTTATAACAATGGAAGGCTTTTTTCCCCCCAAACATTCGGGGATAATAACCTAAAATTATTGAAAGACAGCATAAAGTGTTGGACAAAAATTACGTTATAAGGTCATAACCCAATGAATTGACCCATTACCAACGAGTTTTTAGTTCAATGGTTTAAGTCCTCTCCCTCCTCCTCCCCTCTCCACAAAAAAAATAAAATGAATCGACCCATTACTAAATTTATTGACATGTTACACACATACACATAATAATACACAGACACAAACACAACTTAATCAGCCTCTTGAGTTCATCATCTATTACATCTACCAGGGGCCAAAAGAAGATTCTGATTTCCAGGGATGGAGGAAAAGGAAATGAAGAAGAAGATAATTTCACATAAATTCAAGATTTTGTTCTTACTTGGTGTTGGTTTTTTTATGGAGTCTAGTTTGTATATGTGATCCGAATGATGATCCAACCTGAAGTAATGTTTTGTGTGGTTTTTAATGGAAAATTTTCTGAGGCTTAGTCCATGGAGCGAAGGCTTGGGCCGATAGGCCCAAGCCGTAGCGCTCATGGACAAGCCTTGTGGGGGTTCGGGGGCAACGCCCCTGAAGAAAAATTTTTGGGCCCGTTTTACAACCCAGTGCGTAGGACATATAAACCCTGTTGTTTTGGTGATTAGGGTTTATTATTGATTGTACAGCCGCTCTCTGTATTCAATTCTCTCAATAGTGAAATCCCTGCAGCTTCGTAGACGTAGCAAATTGTCGAACTACGTAAAATCTGTGTCTCGTTCTTTCTTGTTTCTTATTGCTTTATATTCTTGATTTGTTCTTCGATTATGTGTGTTTGTTAGTGGATTTAAATCGTGTTAAATCTCAACAACTGGTATCAGAGCTCTAGGTTAAGAGGTCAAGGGTTTACACAATGGCAGAAGATAAAGTTAAGATCGAAAAATTCAATGGCACGAACTACGCATTTTGGAAGATGCAGATGGAGGATATTCTGTATCAGAAGGATCTTTATCAACCTATCGACGGGAAGAAGCCAGCGGATATGGAGCAAGCAAAGTGGGATGTTCTGGATCGCAAAGCCCTAGGGACTGTGCGACTGTGCCTAGCGCCGTCAGTTGCATCGAACATCGCCAAAGAAAAGACTACATCAGATTTGTTCAAAGCCCTAGAAAAGATGTACGAAAAGCCTTCAGCGGTGAATAAGGTATATCTTATGAAAAAGTTATTTAATCTAAAGATGTCTGAAAATACTATTGTTGCTGAACATATCAACGAATTTAATACGGTTACGAATCAGTTAGAATCCGTGAGTATTATTTTTGATGATGAAATTAGAGCTCTTGTCCTTTTATCAAGTCTGCCGGAAAGTTGGAATGGACTTGTCGTGGCAGTAAGCAATTCTTCCGGGTCTGCAAAGATAAAATTGGAGGATGTTGTGGCATTGATACTAGGAGAAGAGGCTCGGAGAAGAGCATCGGGTGAGGATGTTGTTTCAGGTTCAGCACTCAATACGGAGGAGAGAGGTAGGGCTATGAATAAGGGAGGCAATAAAAAGGGCAAGGGAAAATCGTATTCGAGAAACAGAGGCCGAAGTAAATCTCGTGGTGGAGATGAGGGCTGTTGGAACTGCGGTCAGAAGGGGCACTGGAAGCGGGACTGCAAGGCACCTAGAAAGGAGCAGAATGGGAATAATCAAAGAGGTAAAAATACTGCTAATGTTGCTGACGAGTCCGATAATGATGCTTTGATTTGTTCACTGGATTCTCGCAGTGAATCTTGGATTGTAGATTCTGGAGCCTCATTCCATGCTACTCC